CATTTGTTGTTTCCTGATTTTCGATTTATGATGACTGACTGATTGCGCAAATCAAATCAGTCCTGGCTTGGCCAAGCACTCACACGTGTCATCGCTAAATCATCGAGGGCCCACAGATATCGCTTTTATCCCGAAGGTAAAAGGAATGGATAAACTTCGACTCATATGGCTTGTTCTACTACTTGTTGAATCATACATAAAGGCACGTTTTATAACATCGAGTTACCAAATGCGTTTTCGTGCAATCAATGTATAAACCAACTCATAGTAACAACTCATATCTCTAGGTTTGAAGAATATAAGATATTATCGTCTCATGATCACTCATGATAAAATCCATGAAGTGATTCAAATGAGCGCGGGTTGAATCCAATACTCAGAACTTATGAGCACTCATGAGTGTTGTAGCACCACTTTGTCCACCAACTTGGACCTCTACAAACCAACCCATGACAGTCTTGATTCACATCTACTTCCAACATATGACCGACTATGGATGGTTTGAATAACTTAATCATTCAGGAAGAGTGACTTAGTTATTCTGGAAGTCAAAACATGCAAAGTGAAACACAAGAATAAATAAATGAATCAAATATGGTATCAAACCCCTCTGAATATAAATAAACACTTTATTTATCACCATACTGATTATCATTATTCATTGTTTCGGTTTTTCAACTTTATACTTGAATTAAAACACTAGTTGTCCCATGCTCCAAGCATGTACACTATGGTTTTCTTAAACATAGATTTGCCATACACCAAGTATGCACTCTATGTTTGTCTATGCTCCTTACTTTGTGACAATCAACCAATTGAACATAATTCAATGATTCTAATTTCCCCCACTCCCAAATCCTTATCGAAATATGTGAAAATTTACATTCCTATCATTTATCGAAATCTGGTTTAGATTTTAAACTTAATGCACTGACCCTCCTGTAATGGAATATGTACAAAGTCACAAAGACTTGTCAACACTCATTATAAGGTATTCCCATGGAGATCAAACGCCATGGAAACTAAGTCTCATATTCAAAGTACATGCTTTGGACATGCTTCTTGCATTAATTTTCTAATCTTACACAGATAAATTCCACCTATGGAGACAACTCCATATTCTCATTTTTGACTATCACTTCTGAATAAGAGATGCCTCTTTTCAGAATATGTCATTATATGGTCCTTCCAAAATTAGCACTATACTTCCAACTGTCCTTGAGCAACCAATCTTTGGTAACACCTTAGATTGTCTCGACAATTGCTTAATCATTTTAGTCATATCCAATCTAGACCTTTCCCTTCTTAATGCCTCTGGGCATTTGGAAACAAATTTAGAAATGACAAATATTATAGCACATGAAATCGATCCTATACACAAAGCCAATGGTACACGATTCATGATGTCTCACATAAAGACATGATTCTATGACCAGTCTTTTGCTACAATATTTGTATTGCCATGTTTTCAAAATTGACTATGAAGAGGGATGCCGTAATCATAATCGAATTTGAGAACGCAATATATAGATTTTTCTTAAGGTTTGAACCAATCCAACATGAAAGCATATATATATCTTGAATAAAGCTGATAGGTCTCAAATCTAAGCCTTTAGAACTGAAATGAAGATATCCTCTCCCTTAAATATAGCAAAACAACTTTTTTAATCCCTGGCAGCCTCACGAATTAACTTTGTTTTCTATAATTACCATTGCTAACTTGCAACACTAACACTAATTCTCATGCTCCCCTAACATGATGTTATTAGCATAACACTTATGCACCCACTAGCTTGGAAATGACTCAGAAATCAGCTGGACTCTAGAAATCAATACTTATTGACTTTCTTACCAAAAGTTAGATTTTTGATACGAGATGCTTTGATAAAACTTTATCAAAATCATAACCTTTCCTTAGATAGCATGCATGTGTGTCTAAAAATTTCAGAACTATGAAAAGGGATGTCGTAATCATAGTCTCAATTGTTTAGACCTTTTGCCATCTGCTTCAAATCTACTTGGTGGAAGTGTTCCTCACCATCATTTATGAATCGGAGAGAAACCTTATGACCCTTAGATTTTATGGTGTATGCGTTCTTATCCATGTGAATCGTCAAAACCATAGTCACAAGACAAGGATAATGACAAATCCAAACTCATATGGACTGAACTTATGCAATCTTAACTTCTTGCCACCTGGCCGTATAGGGCCTGCCATTGCTTCCAAGTGTTATGCAACCAATTGCAGAGAACTTTCAGAACTCCTATGCAAAGCCAACTTTAACTGGAATGGGCACAGAATATGTCAACACGATTAGGTTATAAACCTCAAGTCGGTGCTAGGAAGAACCTCAGGTTTTATTCTTGATTAGTTCTTGAAAATTCTTTTTAGGATCTTTACGACTCCACTATCCTCTTGATCATATAAGACTATCTTGCCAAATATTCAAGAGATAGTGCGGATTTCTTTATCAAGACAATCACTTCACACAATTGGCCTTAGTGGTCTTTGTTTTATCCAAAACATCAACCATTACCAATTTCAAATGTACAAGAGTAGGACACTTTTACCTTACATTTGACAAGTGTTTTAAACCTTTCTTTAAGTTATGTCACTCAAGTAAATCTGGAGTATACTCTAAGAATGTTTGGCCCGGAGTATACTCGTCTTCCTGATCTAACCATTCAACAATTCATGACTCCTCTCCTTAGTCATAAGGGTAATGCACTTAAGATGACCCTTAGACGGACTAATTGTGATATGATTTCTAAATCATTAAGATGATCACAAACATGATACTATAGTACTCTCCCATCTTTTTGTTGGATTAGTGTCTAAGTCCGTAACTATATTTGGTATGTACTTGACCCGAGTGTGCATGGTCCTTTTGGGTTGCCTTCACCAAAGCAACTTGACAAGGTAATTTGATATGAGAGAGAAGATATTTGGTTTATTAATATATTATAAGAATAATATATTAAAGGAGAAATCATATTTATTTAATTAGTATTAGTCATAAATTAATTAGGAATTAATTTGGTGACTAAAAGAGATTAATTAAATAAAGGGGTATAAACTATCAAATGTGTGATAGTTGGTTTTTGGGCTGGGAAACCTAATGGACTAAGGGGGAACGAAATTATGATGAGGGATCATCATATTTTCGTCCAAGGGCCTCATTCCAGAAGGTTCCTTGGGCTGCTTGGTGGCTAAGCTATCCATTAGGGTTTAGACTGAAACCCTAGCACCCTATAGTATAAATAGATGCCCTATGCTTCAATTTTAGGCCCTTGATTCCAAGGGAAACCTAGGGCCGAAATTAGCATCCTTCCTCTCTCTCTCTTAATTGCCTTCTTGCTTCAAGGTGTTTGTGAGCCATTAGAGGCACTATAATTGTGGTGCTTGCTTTCAAGAGTTCAAGAGATCAAGGAAACTAGTTGTTATTGCTATATAACAACAGAGGTATGTCTACTACACTTCAATATAATTTTCGAAAATTATAGAAGCATGCTAGGGTTTATTTTGTGTTCATATAGTTGTATGTCTTATAGTGAAAACATAGATCCAATTAGGGTTGCATGCACACATAGGATTGTTTGTATAAAACCTATCAGTGGTATCAGAGCCTTTGGTTTTTGTTTTCAATTTGATTTGATACATATTATGAATTTGACAAATTAGGGTTTATGGCAAGTAAACCCTAAGGCTTGGTGTTTTTCGAAAATAGGGTTAAGAAACCCTAGTTGGTGATTTTTTGTAGGGTTCTTAAACCCTTTTTGCCTAGCCTCCAATTTCGAAATTAGGGTTATGAAACCCTAGGGATTTCGAAAATCCCTTGCCCCCCAAGACAAGATCCCAAAATTTTAGGGATTTGGATAATGCCATCTTTGTGAGTATCAACTTAATTGTTTAAACTAGATAATTGAAGATCTTGAATTATCCTTTCCATAAATTTCGAAATCTAGGGGATAAAAAGGATTAGGATAAATTAATTGTTTAATTTTATGATAATCCTTCATGATTTAATAATTTAAATTAATTGTTTAATTTTGATAATTATTAAATCAAAGATTTTTTTTTGGTGTTTAAAATTTTAAATTAAATTGTCTAATTTTCGAAAATTTTAAATGCAACAAAGACACTAGTATTTTAAAATGTTTTAAAATACACCCTTATACAATTATGATATTATAAGATTAATTATTATATATATGTATAAGAATAAGCTAGTCTTATCGCTAGTAGGCCTCATTCACGAAGCCAGTCTATAAGGTGGGTATAAGGTTGCTGCCTATAAAATGGCGCTTAATGGATGTTCACTCACATCTACCGCTTGCTTGACTGGTGGAGGGTCGTTAGCCAAACGGATAGGATAGGGCACTTAATTCCTCATTATAAGTATAATGGAAATATTAAAGTAACTACATTGTTCTACAAATTCCCACTCTTAGTTACTTTAGGGTAAAATGTGAAAATGATGCTATTCCATGGAATTACACTTTGTACCCCTGTCAAACGTTAGTGGAGCGTGCGTGGTTAACCAGCACACTAATTTGGGATTGACATTGGTGACAAAGGGTGGCTCGATGTCTTATCATAGATCAATGGAGCGTGCGTGGCTAACCAGCACATTGATTAGGTGATGAAGACATTAGTGCACCATGATGATTCGCATGGTTATTCACAAACTTGTTTGCGATCCTCGGCATCCCAGTCGCAAATTTGAAGTGCATATCGAGATTTAAACATGCCATTGAAATGTTCAATGAATCTCAAAAGAAATCTAGGAATTTTCAAATACATTTAAAACTTAACCTCTTTCGTTTTTCATGGTGAAAATTAGTGAATCGTCATTCACTTACCTTAAATTATTTACTTTTAGATTACGGCATCCCTTTTCTAAGTTGTAAATAATGTTGTTGGATCCTAGCCCTAATTTCTCATGTGGGTGTTTAATTAGGGATTCATTCTAATCAAACTTTGTTCCTTTCTATTTCAGATGTCAAGCGCAAACGCAAACAACAACACTTCTGGGTCATTCTCGTTGATGAACCTGTGTCAAAAAGTGACATTTGATGGCTCGAACTTCAACGAGTGGATGAGATACATTCGCATGATAACTCGTTATGAGGACAAAGAATATGTCCTAGACGAGAAGCTTGAAAGGATCAACCCAGAAGAAGCTACTCCTGAAGAGATGGCCGCCTTTGAGGCCCACGAGCGTGATGCAACGAAAGTTCATTGCATCATGTTGGCCACCATGAACCTCGAACTCCAAAAGTCCTATGAGGACATGTATCCATATGAGATGCATCAAGATTTGCTGGACAGGTACCACCAGAGCGCGAGGCAAGAGCGCTATGAGATCATCACCAACATGATCACCGCTAAGATGGGGAGTGGAGAATCCCTAACTGCTCATTTGCAAAGAATGCAAAGATATGTTGATCGTCTTCTCAAACTTAATGTTAAGTTTGATGAGGATTTGGCTATCGACATCATCCTCCACTCCTTGCCTTCCTGCTACAGCCAGTTCAGAATGACCTACCGCATGAATAAGGAAGAGGTCACCCTAAGTAAGCTTCAAGGGCTCCTGAGGACAGCTGAGAGTAACCTCAAGGACAAATCGGTTGCATCATCCTCTACTGTAGCTGCTCCTGTGTTGGCAATTGGCCAAGGAAAGGGAAAGAAGAGGAAGGCTCCTTACAAGAGCCACCATAAGGGTAAGACCCAAGATGGTTCTTCTTCTAGTGGGACCAAAGCAGGTTCTGTTAAGCCCTCTTCTGACCCCAAGGAAGCAGAGTGCTTCTATTGCCACCAGAAGGGCCACTGGAAACGAAGCTGCCCTAAATATCTGCAAGATATTAAGGATGGGAAGATAAAACCCACCTTCGCAGGTATGTATTTAATTAAATCTAATAACTCATCATTTGCTACTTCATGGGTTCTTGATACAGGGTGTGGTTACCACATTTGTTCTGATATGCAGGGCCTAAAAAGAAGTAGGGAAGTGGAGCATGGAAGGATAAGCTTGATCATCGGAAACAAGAAGTCTTCACCAGTAACCAAGATCGGAGTTTATTCCTTAGTGTTGAGTAGTGGGTTAGGGCTAGATTTAAATAATTGTTGCTATTCGCCAGATATGGCAAGAAACATCATTTCTTTTCATGGTTTGTTTAGACAAGGTTTCAGATATTCATTTGATAATAGTAATGGTTCTATTAATGCTTATTTGAATGGTGTCTTTTATTTCAATGCATTACCTTGTAATGGGATTTATGAATCTGTGTTAGTTATTGATAATTTAGGAAATGATGTTTTGAATATTGATTCGTCCACAAGTTTGGACAAAGCATGCTTGTGGCATTGTCGCCTTGGCCATGTGAACAAGAAACGCATAGCCCAACTCCAAAAGGATGGAGTCTTGGAGTCTTTCGACCTTAGGGACGATGACGTGTGTGAGTCTTGTTTACTTGGGAAGATGACCAAGTCACCCTTTACTGGCACATGTGAAAGGGGTGAGGGTGTATTAGATCTCATACACACAGATGTATGTGGACCCTTTAGATCCACCACAAGGGACGCTTGTCGCTTCTACGTGACTTTTACAGACGATTATAGCAGATATGGATATATCTACTTAATCAAGCAAAAGTCAGAAACTTTTGAAAAGTTCAAAGAGTTCAAGAATGAAGTGGAGAATCAGTTGGGCAGGAAAATCAAGATGCTTCGATCTGATCGAGGGGGAGAGTACCTAAGTCTTGAGTTCCACGACTATCTGAAAGAGTGTGGAATAGTTTCACAATTGACGCCTCCTAGAACGCCACAATTGAATAGTGTGGCTGAGAGACGTAATCGAACCTTGTTGGACATGGTTCGCTCTATGATGAGTCGTGCTTCGTTACCAATCTCATTCTGGGGGTATGCCTTGGAGACTGCCGCCCATATCCTTAACTTAGTTCCCACCAAGAAGGTTACCAAAACGCCTCACGAGATGTGGACAGGGAAAGCTCCCTCGTTAGCACATATCAAGGTTTGGGGTTGTGAAGCTTTCATAAGACGAGAGACTCACGACAAGCTAGAACCTCGTAGTGAGAAGTGTTATTTCATCGGCTATCCACAGAAGTCTTTTGGTTATCTCTTCTATAGACCAAATGACAATGTTGTCTTTGTTGCTAGGAGAGGGGTTTTCAGAGAAAGAGAACTCATAAGCCAAGGAGACAGTGGGAGTCAGATTGACCTTGAAGAGCTTCAAGAGTCAGGAGAAGAAGGAACCTCTGACACTGGCATGCAACCTGAGGAGGAAACTCCTGTTGAACCTATTGACCAGTCCTTACCTCTTAGACGTTCAAGTAGAGTTGTTGTTCCACCCCAGTTTTATGGTTTCCATATTACTACTGATGGGGATACGTTTATTAGTGATAGTACACTAGTAAATCTGGACGAACCTAACAGCTACAAGGAAGCCATGGCAGGCCCAGAGTCTGTTAAATGGAAAGAGGCAATGGATAGCGAGATTCAGTCCATGTATGACAACCAAGTTTGGAATTTGGTTGACAATGTGCCAGGTCGTAAGACGGTCGGGTGCAAGTGGATCTTCAAGAAGAAGACAGACATGGATGGGAAAGTGCACACTTATAAAGCGCGATTGGTCGCGAAGGGCTTTACTCAAACTCCTGGAGTTGACTATGATGAGACCTTCTCACCAGTTGCGAAAATAAAGTCTATTAGGGTAATGCTTGCGATAGCTGCGTTTCATGATTATGAAATTTGGCAGATGGACGTAAAAACCGCTTTCCTAAATGGGAAGTTGGCTGAGGATGTTACATGAATCAGCCAGAGGGTTTTGTCGATGCAAAGCATCCAAATAGAGTGTGCAAGCTTGAGAAATCCATTTATGGATTAAAGCAAGCGTCTCGCAGATGGAATCTTTGTTTTGACGAGAAGGTCAAAGAGTTTGGCTTTCTGCGAAATGAAGATGAGTCATGTGTATATGTCAAGGCCAGTGGGAGTATAGTGAGCTTCCTCGTATTGTATGTCGATGACATACTACTCATAGGAAACGACATCCCAACATTGCAGGAGGTCAAGTCCTGGCTTGGGAAGTGTTTCGCTATGAAGGACCTCGGAGAGGCTGCATATATTCTGGGAATAAGGATAGTGAGAGACAGAAGTAAGAGACTGATAGGACTCAGTCAGGATACATACTTGGAAAGGGTACTAAAACGTTTTAGTATGGAAAATTCCAAGAAAGGGGAGTTACCAATCCAATGCAATACCAAACTGAGTAAGACTCAGAGCCCGAGTACAGAGGCAGAAATAGCTGATAAGAGCCGAGTACCTTACGCTTCCGCAGTTGGCTCAATTATGTACGCTATGACCTGTACTCGCCCTGATGTGGCTTTCGCTTTGAGCATGGTCAGCAAATATCAAGGGAATCCTGGTAGGGCACATTGGATTGCTGTCAAGAATATTCTTAAGTACCTACGAAGGACTAAGGAATGGTTTCTAGTCCTGGGTGGGAGTGATGACTTAAGGGTGCGAGGGTACAGTGACGCTAGTTTCCAGACAGATCGGGATAATTACCGATCGCGGTCGGGCTGGGTCTTTACCTTGAATGGAGGAGCAGTGACTTGGAAAAGTTCCAAGCAAGAAACCGTAGCTGATTCAACGTGCGAATCAGAGTACATTGCGGCGAGCGAGGCGTCAAAGGAGGCTATATGGTTGAAGAACTTCATTGGAGACCTTGGAGTTGTGCCATCCATAAAAGAGCCCATGGAAATTTTCTGTGATAATGAAGGAGCGGTTGCCTTAACCAAGGAACCAAGGGATCATGGCAGATCTCGTCATATCGACAGGAAATACCATTTTATTAGACATCGAGTAGAAGAGGGACTCCTCGTTGTGAAGAGGGTATCGTCAGAAGATAACCCAGCAGATCCCCTCACGAAGGGACTGAGTAGGGTTAAGCATTTGCAGCACGCTAGAAGCGTAGGGCTGAAGGACGATATTAGTTTAGATTAGATAGGTAGGAAACTTGTAATGGATGATCATGTATTCAACATTTGATGATTAAATAAAGGTGTGTTATTTATAAGAAAGCTTCTATCTTGTGTTGATTATTTATCTATTGTTTCAATTTTGCATGTTTTGACTTCCTGAATAATAAGATTATTCGAACAGTCCACAATCGTTCATATGTTGGAAGTAGATATGAAGGAAGATTGTCATAAATTTGTTTGTAGATTGTCTGAAAAGTTTTAGACATAGCAAAGGTTTGCTGCAAAGTTTATGAGTGCTTATGAAATTTGTATTGAGCATTGGAATAGACCCACACTTGCTGGTATCACTTTATGAATGTTATCACAAGTGATCGCAAGATGATAATATCATATAATCTTTAAACCTAGAGATATGGTTATTGTTTGCTGGTTGATTATACATTGATAATGCGAAAACGCATCAGTAACTTGATGTTATAAACGCATTATTGTGTGTGGTTTAACTAGTAAATGATAAAGGCATATTAGTCGACGTTTTTCTGTTCCTTTTATTCTATGAGAATAAAAGCGATATCTTGGCCACTTGATGATTTGGTTTGACTTATGTGCCGGGCCCGGTCAGGATGAAGTTGATGTGTTCAACTGAGTTCTATGTCGAACAAATCAGAGATCAAGAAATAAAATGCTAAACAATAAGTATTGTTAGCATGATATCTAGAACAGAGGATTATACGATCCCTTATCTGAAGGACAGATTATTGGTCAGAGTTGACAGCGGCTATTGAAAGCTACGATTGCTAATCGGATACGGAAGTCATATGTGAGATGTAGTTACTAGACTTATCCAAGTGGGAGACTGTTGGATTAGTGTCTAAGTCCGTAACTATATTTGGTATGTACTTGACCCGAGTGTGCATGGTCCTTTTGGGTTGCCTTCACCAAAGCAACTTGACAAGGTAATTTGATATGAGAGAGAAGATATTATGGTTTATTAATATATTATAAGAATAATATATTAAAGGAGAAATCATATTTATTTAATTAGTATTAGTCATAAATTAATTAGGAATTAATTTGGTGACTAAAAGAGATTAATTAAATAAAGGGGTATAAACTGTCAAATGTGTGATAGTTGGTTTTTGGGCTGGGAAACCTAATGGACTAAGGGGGAACGAAATTATGATGAGGGATCATCATATTTTCGTCCAAGGGCCTCATTCCAGAAGGTTCCTTGGGCTGCTTGGTGGCTAAGCTATCCATTAGGGTTTAGACTGAAACCCTAGCACCCTACAATATAAATAGATGCCCTATGCTTCAATTTTAGGCCACTTGATTCCAAGGGAAACCCTAGGGCCGAAATTACCATCCTTCCTCTCTCTCTCTTAATTGCCTTCTTGCTTCAAGGTGTTTGTGAGCCATTAGAGGCACTACAATTGTGGTGCTTGCTTTCAAGAGTTCAAGAGATCAAGGAAACTAGTTGTTATTGCTATATAACAACAGAGGTATGTCTACTACACTTCTATATAATTTTCGAAAATTATAGAAGCATGCTAGGGTTTATTTTGTGTTCATATAGTTGTATGTCTTATAGTGAAAACATAGATCCAATTAGGGTTGCATGCACACATAGGATTGTTTGTATAAAACCTATCACTTTTTAGATTTGAGAAACTTTTATCTTTCTGCCTAATTTGATTCTTCCCATTCGTTCTGCCATACATTGAGACTTTTCCAATGTTTCAGAATTATACTTAAACTTGTAAGTATAACCATATTTACTAAATTTTAGTAAATCAAATAGTCTTAACGAGCTTTGTGGTGGACATGACCAGTGCACAAGAATGTGTACTCGATCCCTTTAGTCCTTCACTTGACTCACACATCCATGTGAACAAGTAATTAGTCTTGATTTTCCAATGCTTGAAAGTTCTCATTCATCATACTATTCAACTTGCATGATTCCAAGTTTCGGTCCAATTGAAACTTGGGCGATGAGGAACTTTCCTGATTTGGTAAATTTAGACACTACCACAAATGAAAGAATCAAATCCATTTTCCAATATTGCTGTCAGTGGAATCATATAAGCAACAATTTTCCACAAATGCCATTGTAAGGATACTTCAAATAAATAAAATTAAACAATTTTCTTTTATTTTAAAACTTTGCGGAAAAACTTATCCTTACAATCCACATGGAAAATTTTTGTTATCTATTCCTTAGCAATATATCATAACTTCTTAAGCAACTGCTCAAAATTCTGATGCGATCGAAATCCACCTTCGCGATCAGAATCAGCATATACTTCCTTTAAGATTTCTCTCTATTCTTTAATTCTTAAAACATCAACATATGACCCAGTCACATCATGTAATGAGGATCTCAGAATAGAACTTAACAGAGTTAGATAATGGGCTCTACCTGATGTAGAGTCAAACTTATTGACGTTAACATCCTTAGGTAAATTTGGCGGCTTTGCAATCAACGCCCCTTCCTTTGGCAAAATAAACATATGGACCCTTTGGTAATGGGACTATCTCAGACTTAGCCTTTCTCTTTACCATTTGGTCAACCGGGTTGACTATGGCCAATCCCTTTCCATTAGGAAGAGAATGCTTTTTCTGGATTTCCAGTGTCACCATTGTCACTGTCCATAAAGTTTTTGGGAAGTTGATCTTCTAATCAAATTTGCTTTATTATCGTTCCAAATCATTGCTGATTCAGCAGCACCAAGCAAATAGATATGATCATTAAGGTTCATGTCATAGTCTGTTTCATAGTAGTCCCAAAGGAACTCACTATGTGACTTAGAAAGTGATTGAACATCCAACTTTCTCAAGACTTTGACACCCAACTCTCCCAGCTTGTCAATATGTGACTTCATCTCTAAGATGTGATCACACATAGACCTTGCTTGCCATTAGGGCTTGAGTGACCTTGAACTTGTGGGTTAGGGAGAATAATTGGAGGAGGTGGAGGAAGAGAAGTATGACTTCCATGAGCCAAACTCGGGAAGTCATATTCATTAGGAAAGCTTGGTTTGGGAAGATCATTGTTGTCTAAACCAGACATCAACAATGGGAGAAATTCACGTAAAGTGGATTTAAGTCATTAATATAACACCCAATATGATATATTAAGGCTAGGACCCAACAAACTATTTTATAACTTGGAAGAGGGATGCCGTAATCCAAGCTATAAAATATTTGAAGGTAGGTGAATGACGATTTACCAATTTCCACCAAGATAAACGAAATGTATTATTAGGTTTTAATTGGTTTTGAAACTCCTAGATTCTTTTGAGATTCATTGAACTTTTCAATGGCATGTTTCAATCTCAAGTGTGCCCTTCAGGTTTTGTGACTGGGATGCCGAGGATCACAAAACAAGGTGTGAAGTAACCATGCAAATATACTTGGTACCCTTAATATTTACCCCTCAATCGATGTGCCGGTTAACCACACACGCTCCAACGATACTATGATAAAAATTAAGTTACCCTTTTCTTACCTTGTTAAGTCCAGGTTAGTGTGCCCGTTAACCACACACGCTCCACTAACAGCTTAAACAAAGTGCAAAGTGTAATTTCATGGATTAGCACCTTATTCACATTTTCCTAAGTAACTAAGATTGGGAATTTATAAGTGTTTAGTTACTTAGTATTTATCATTATACTTATAATGAAGGGAGAATTATAGTCCTTGTCCTACCTGTTCGGCTAACGACCCTCCACCAGTCAAGGAAGCGGTGGGTGAGAGTGGACACCCATTAAACTGCCATTTTATAGGCAGTAACCTTATACCCCCTTATAGACTGGCTTCGTGAATGAGGCCTACTAATGGTAAGACGACTTGCTCTTATACATATAATATATTAAACTTTTAATATTATAATAGTATAAGGGTGTATTTTAGACATTTAAAATACTTGGTGGTTTAATCTATTAATTAAACTAAACTTTTAATTTAATTAAACTCAAATCATATCTTTATTTATGGATTAAATAATACTCTTTTAATTGAATGCTTTAATTAACTATTAATAAAGTCCATAAGAGTTAATTTGAACTATTCAACAAAACATCATAATTCCAATTATTAAATTCAAAATTAAAACCATTTAATTAATTGTTTAAGTTATGAACCCAAGAGTCTTAGAATTCAATTCTTTTTTTCATAAAAAACTTTTTTCAAATTCCAAAACTTGAGGCAAGTTTTGTAACTCTTGAAAACCTTTGGATTCCATAACTTATGGAATTAATGGTGTTTTATGATGAAACTTTCCATGTTCCCTAACTTAAGAACAAGTTATGGAATTATTTAAAACATTAACACCAAGTTTTGTAACTCCATAAAAACATTTAATCAATTTTTTTTAATTGAAAAAAACTTTCATATCCATAACTTATGGAGGTTTCAAAACTCTTAAGATTGTAACTTTTACAAAAGACTTTTGAGTTCCAAAATTTTATGATAAAATTTGTAACTCGTTAAAAAATTTGGATCAAACTTTTAAAACAAATAAAAATAATCATATCATTCTATATTTTAATAAATTGACCTAATTCAACTCTTGTAGTAAAATGACTCAAATTTTACAAATAATTAGTTTTCCATAAAATCAAGTAATTATCTTAAAATTTGACAAACTTCATGTTTTTTTTTTCTTTTTGTTTTTCAACTTTGAAAATCAAACCTTTGCATCAAATATAACAGAAAACAACCCATGGCTCTGATACCACTGTTGGGTTTTTGAGCATTCTAACACTCCTAAGTGTACATGCAACCCTAAATACCTTGGATCTATGTTTTCTCTATTATACATGCAAATATGAATTTTCCAAGGTATTACCCTATCTAGCATACAATCCTTGATACTTGGGTAATATAACAAGTTAGAATACATACCTTTTAATGAAGCTTGAAGTCTTGAACTTTAAGAGCTTAGCCCCAATAGTGTGGAAGCCTCAAGTGGAATCACAAATCACCAAAACACCTTGGAAGAACTTGAGAGAATATGTATGC